CCTTTACTGAGGATGCGGCGTGAACCTCCGGTGCATGAAACATTCTGATACGTTATTTGGGAGTCTTTTTGAATCATTCGTTGTTGGGATGGATTGCGTTGCGCAATCTTGACGGCAATGCACTTTGAGGTGAACTTCGTTCAATTCGGTCTCCGGGACCATATCAAGTGCTGGGTATTGTCCGCTCACAAAAATACACTCCATGATGTCGGAAGGGAGACAGATAGCAACGAGCATCTGGAAGCAGAATTACAGTAATTAAGCTTTAATTACCCGCTCTGTCACTATATTGCATACTTTATGAGACCCTGAATGGGAATAGCCCAGCTGTCTTGGAGTTTTGTTCACCTATGAGAATCTTGGGTACGGCGCAGCATTGTTAAGTGTACATCTGGATAGCAATGATCAAGCGAAACTGACGTTCTGCTGCGCAGACTGTTCCGAAGGGAACGGGAAAGAAGCGCATGTTACCACAGGTTAATACACCTTGTACAATCTCATCGAAGAACAAGCTGATTGTTTCCAGCTGAACAGTCTGTCGCTTATCCCTTACATGGAGTCCACAAACCGGTTCAACAACTTAGCAGCAAACCCACCGGAGATAATGGTCTTAAGTAATAACATTACTCTTACGGAGTAGGACGATGATGGCCATGAGGGACTCTGTTCAGGGAGATTACAAGGCTTCTTCAAACGCTGATACTTGAACAGTCTGCATAATCTAGCGGAAACATTTTGGCCAGACAGTTCACCAGGACAGTTTTAAGCACTTGGCCGAACCCAACGGTGAAGTTCCAATCATACCTTGAACTGATGTATCATCATCATCATCATACACGTTAGCTAGAGGTGGGGAACACCTCAGTTACTGTGCCGCAATACACAGAAAAAAGGAGAAAAAAAGCAACTGGTGCAAGCTGGCTGAGCTACCGGTAACGGATGGGCATCGTTCCGGTAAGCTACCAGCCGGCTACTGTGCATCAAAAAATTACTATGCAAAATTATATAAGGCTAAATATTGAGATCATGGTTGGAGAGGGAGGCTAAGATGGACTGGGTGGGACAAAGAAACTCACTGCACGAACGTCACTGACGTCGGCTCCTTGCCATATCAGCAAGTGTATCCAGCCTAACGTGTTCATCCTCTTTTGGACCCCAACCATGGAGCCGAGATGCTCCAACTGAAGCCAGCTTCGAAGTAAGAGCCTTCATTCCTCTCGACCAAATCGTCGCTTGGCCACCCCTCCTCTTCTTCCATCCACAACCCCGGCGCGCAAACAACGCACGTCGCGGGAGTCGGTGGGCTGGCATGCGCAACACGTGGCCAACCATCGGAGCCTGGTGCGTGAAATAACGGTGCCGAGCGGTTCAGTTCCTTTTCCTGTGCCGTAAACAAGGCGTCGAACACCCTCGTTGCTCACGCGGTGTTCCCACCAGATGTGAGCTAAATTGCGAAGGCACCGGTGGTCGAACGTAACTAGCCTCTTCAGGTCCGTTGCTTTAAGGGGCCAGATTTCACAACCATGCACTAGGGTCAAAAATACCGCTGCCTTGTACACTCTACCCTTCAGGGCAAGAGTGATGTCGCGCCGACGCCGTAAGTAGCGAAGATTAGCAAAAGCACCCCGAGCTTTTGCTATACGGTTCATGATCTCATCTTCAATCACACGGGTGCTGATACAACTTCCCAGCTAGTTGAATATTTGAACGACTTCTAGCTGATCCCCACCAACGGTCAGCGTAGGAGGCGGTCCAGACCAATCTTTGAGGAACGCTTTGCACTTCGAGGGTGCGAAGCAAAGCCCGAAGTGACGGACAGGTAGTGCTAATCTGTCCAGTGCCGCTTGACACGTTTGTGAGCTGTCACAGATTAGGGCAATATCATCAGCATACTCTAAGTCAATAAGTCGTTCTCCTGGGAGTAGCTCCACACCTTCTAAGTCGTGTCCTGTAAACGCGATTTCCATGACTTCATCAACAGCGAAGTTGAAGAGGAAAGGTGACAGCGAGCATCCTTGTCTCACGCCGCTGGAGATATTAAAGGGCGACAACAACTTGCCGTAAGCCCTCACTCTGCCCGAGCTACGCGCATATAATGCTCGGATAATATTCACATATTTCTCAGGTACACCTTTCCTGAGTAGACAGTCCCAAAGTGCATGTCTATCCACCGAATCGAATGCACCTTTGATATCGAGGAACACGACAAGGGTCGGCCGCCAATATATGTGGCGGTGCTCCAACAACTGACGCAAGGTGAAGATGTGGTCAATGCAGCCACGACCTTGACGAAATCCAGCTTGCTCTTCACGAATCTGGCTTTCACGAGTGCCAGTCAGTCTGTGAAGGATGACAGAGGCAAGCAATTTGGAGGCGATGGAGATCAGACTGATTCCTCTATGACTGCCGCATTCCGATCGTGAGCCTCCTTTGAAAATTGGGACTATGACGGAGCGGCTCCAATCGGTTGGGACAGTTTCCTGCTCCCACAGTCTCACTAGTAACTCGTGTATATCATTCACAAGAGCAGGTCCCCCGAATTTGAAGAGGGCTGGAGGAAGGTCATCAAGTCCCGCGGCTTTATTTAACTTCAACAGTTTGATCTCATGTTCGACTTCTGAGCGAGAGGGTGGATCCAAAGGAACAGCCCACGGAGCAGGGCGATCACTGGTCGGCGAGAAATCTAACAATTCCGACCGATTAGATTGCCTTTCAAAGTGCTCAGCCCAGCGTTCCAGGCGTTTTGATAAGTTGTGTATAGGCTGTCCACTCTCGTCACGTATAGTTTCCCTACCACCAGGTCTCCTGCTGCCCGTTTCCCGTATCAGATGGAATAACTCACGATGGTTACCAAGGGCAGCGGCCATTTCCATCTCTGTTGCACGATGAGACCACCAGGATTCGCGGTCTCTCTTCAGGCTAGCACGAAGTTTCGCCCGGAGCTCTTTGCGAGTTTCACTGTGTTCGCTTCCAGCCGGAATATGCCGGCGAGCGTCGATAAGTTCCAGAGACTGTGAAGAGACCCAATGTTCATGTTGGCGATTAGACAGAACTAATGCATAGACACCAACAAACTCTGCGGAGCGCAGAGCGGAATTCTCGCTTCACTTGCAGGATGCGGACAAGTACAAAGTAGAGGAAGTGGTGAAGGCTTTTTGACGACAATTCAGTCAATCGTCTCATATCCTTAGCACTCAGATACACTGCCATCAGGACCTAGCCACGTCTGCCTTACGGTGACAGATGTCATGAAGAGGCTATTACCTACTCGGCTACAGCCGAGATTCATACAAATGTAAATAAATATTTGTTTGCTCAACGAATGAGCCCAGGGGTATTGGATGTGGTTGCCCTGAAGCTGGCTGAATCGTTGTCTCTGTGTTTTTAAACAATATACCAGTTATATGTAGGTTAACGCACGGCGAAAGCATGGAATCGTCATACCCATCTCAGAGGGAAGCGACAGTCCTAAACCCCTGATTTTTCGCTCTCCGTAGTTATGGGGCTACCATAGTAGTAGTAGTCATGATCTATTTAGTGAGATGCAGCACCATTGTGCTCGGGCATCATGGGCTTAGTCAAAATCAGTCACTTACTGCTAGCCCATATAAGTCGGACCAAACTTATCGATACTGTGGTGGGAGTTGATGCCATCTAGTTGAACTTTTCTAAGATCTCTGACCGTTTAAGTCATTATATTTCAAGTTGCAGGCTTTAGACCTGTGGAATCGGAGATCTCGTCTTTGGTTGAATATCTAACTTTATTTTTCCATGGCAAATGAATTTGAGAGCTCGGATCGTTCTGTACGATTTGATAGAGGTTCCGCGTACCATGCCACAAGGAACAGTACTGGATCCAAGCCTGTTCCCAGCTTCCATAACCGACCGCGTAAGTGTGATTACTTCAACCCACTCCATGCTGATAACTGCAAAACGTGGTGGGCTACTATCGGGACAGCAACGATCACATAGCACAACATGCTTCCCCAACAGGCATTACGTGCGTTCTCTCCTAAGCACCCTCTAGTTTAATACAGTCAAATGGATATTATTGAGCATACGTCATCAGAACACCCGCGAGTAAAGGTCCTGGGAACATCTTTGGAGTGCGCCTTATAATGGGGATAATTTCGATGTACTCGAACATGATATGCTTTTCTTTTAGAGCCAAACAGTAAAAGCGCCAGAAATGATTGATCAACGCTCTGGCCTCCTACAAAGGGTATTCGGAGGGTTTGGACCTCCCTTATGCAAGTATTTCATGGAAATTACGCCGTCCAAACCCGGTAGCCCTGGTGGAAGCACGACCTTACCGCATCCGAGACTCCACGGTGAAAGGTGTTTGAAGAAGTTAAGGGTATGTTCCATCTCCCCTATCAAATAAGGCCATAAACCCCGACACTGTGTAGCCGATAGTATCGTTATTTTCAAGGTGGCTTTAAAACCTGACACAGATAACTAAGGATCCGAATCATATTTATGGAAGTTAATCACCACACCAAGCTGAAGATCCACTAGCTAAATTTAGCGACTCAATGTGACCGACTGGGATGTTGCCAGAATGTTCTATTCGAGTACATCGACCGTGGAACACTCTTCCAGATTGCACTGTGCAAGTCCGCACGCAATCGGCTATGAAAAGGCGACTCGGCGATATGCTAGCATTTTGGAATATTACCACACTTTTACGTGCAGTGGGAACCTAATAACTGCTTCAATTCACACTATTATCCCAGACAATGCAAAGCGTGCTTCCTATTTGAACTAGATCAAACAACTGTATGTTGTGAGGCATTTATTGGACCTCCCCCAAAACTAATGTAGCAGTCGCGTCTACATGATGCACGTGCATCATGAACAAGCGTTTCAGAAGAATTCACTGAAACTGAATCATTTCCATGAATTGTCAATGAACTTTGCCGCAGTGGACGGTTGCACATCCACTGCAGCCTTTACGCCACTGTTACAAATGAAAATAAGTGTACTCGGCGTTTTCTTACTTCTGTGGATTCCGCTACCATTTCGGGAGACTTTGACTCAGTAACTGGGCTGTGTTTTGCTTCCTCCGGAGATGGTTTTTTGCATACATCCTGTCCATCCTGCCGCAGGCTGGTGAAAGCCACTGCGTTCTCTATGATCAGATCATCATCTACAAAAAGAGAATGAGGCAGAATAAGCTGTCCGACTGTCAAACGAATTATCCTAGCTTACTAAAGGCATGCTGCCTAGGTGGAAGTACAGAGACCTCAACGGTTCCTTGCTTGTTCATTATACGCATGTCAACGACATCGATGGCCAATGAAGTGTGTGGCAGACAAATCGCTGAGGGTGATAACTCTTCTGCAGTGGTGGTGCAAGTAAGTCATTTGGTGCGATCGAATTTATTTCGGTTTTATTCGAACTACTGGTAAGTTAAACAGCGTCGATTGATATTAAAATTTTAATTTCCCAACAAGCTTTGGTCTCCAACTAGCGGAAAAGAGCTTTAATTCAGCTTCGACCGGTTAACCGTCTAGACTTGGTACATTCAATACATGATGACATGGTGTGTATGAACCGACTAGTAAGCTTGACACTCTGGTGGTGGACACAATCAGTTGTAATCGTTTTGGAAGAGTCTTATTTTGTAGGCCGACAGGAAATTACCGTGGGACATGAGAGTTCTTAATCGTTTATCTAACGGACTACTGAGTGCGTCACCAATAGGCTTACACTGTTAGCTTATGGTTTTCTTTATTCCTAGTTGGACGCTGTTCAGTGTTCAATTACTGTGCCACCGTATTGGGCTCCTGGTTAGTAGTTACAAGGACTCGAAACGGTTATTGCTGTGACAGTACGCTTGCAACGCTTTCTACTTTGGTGACGGCGAGGTCTGTTAGCCGGGTTGGCATTATTGAGCCAAACGCCTGTGTTGTTTCTCTCGATTTCGGAAGGAAAGTGTGATTCAGTGTTAAGCAGTCACTTTGGGAAAAATGGTAGAAGCACCAACCCGTCACTAATTCGCAATTTAACTAGGTTGGAGAGCATTACGAAGCCAAGAAAAATGGCCGACGAATGTGTGTGATGGTTAACCAAATATGATAAAGTGCACCGTCAGAATAGGCCAACTGAGACCATTTCCAAATTGTTGGGAAATAACTAGGTAGTGTGAATGCTTTCACAGTTCTAATTGAGCATGAAAATTTCGAGCACGATGCTTCGGCCGCTGGCTTAATGAGACTTCATCGGCGCATGAGCTACTTCATCTCAAATGGTAGCTTAAGATGATTTATAAATTTCTGTGACATTTGCAACAGTTCCCGGTTTGAATGAAGTTACCATCAAGCCACCGCGTCTTGTGTTGGATGGCTCGTACATACAGTGAATATACAAATGATCAGGTTGGAAAACAGAGTACAGTATGTATGAAGACAACTCCAGCGATGGGATAGCAGCTTGGTTGGTGCATCGTCGGACAGTCGTACTGCCCACGTGATTAGCTGAATTGATGTGAGTAATTGCAGCGTATGCCAACGCCATTCAGTGGATGAATCTTCATTCCCCTATGATTGTGCTTACGAATAGTGTAGAAATGCATTGTTTGTTTGGCTTATAAACTACATTCTAAATGGGGATCTACCATATTGTTGGTGACAAAGTATGCGGGATGGAACAGCTCGCACTTTGTCTATCCTTGGCGTTATGTGGAATGCCAATTCGCGTTCAATAGGCAAATGTGCGTAGTGATAACCTCCAGTGGACAAGTAAAACTACTATTGGATTCGCCTCATATGTCAACTGGTAAACTGGCTTGGAGAGAAAACACCGAAGTTCTTTGGCTCATGCGGCTAAAGAACGGAAAAATTTGTTTTTTTTCAGCTCTCAGCATACAATATTTTACGCGCTCTAGTGGGAAGGCAACGCATGATGTCGGCATTGGCTTAAACAATAGCCTAGAAGTCTTGCACTTGTCATTTGTGAAGTGAGCTGTGTATTGGCGAATGCCTCTCTGGGTCGGCTACAACCTCAATTGACTGGTCAGCAAACAATCAGACTATCGACGTATGACATAACAAGCGCACCAATAGGAGTAATTAAGACTGCAGAAAAGTTACAGGGCCCGAAAAATAGAAGAGATCAAATGAACTCAGCTTCAGTACAGAGTAGGGCTTGGAGGACTCCATGGAGATGTAAAGCTAGGTCCACGTAGTATTGGTCGCTGATCGTAGTGTTTGAGTTGCAGGTTAGACACTGCAGTCCCTACTTTCATACAAATGCGATCATTGTCTGAGCCAATGGGCGGTGTTAGTGTAGTAACAGAGAATAGTGTCCCTTGATAAATTTGATTATATACGTGTTAATGGGACGGAACCAGCCAATGAGAGCGTTTTACGCTGAGGGCTATTGATTTGGCCATAAATTGAATGTACCGTTAGTTGGACGTTAAGCAAATACACTTGCCAGCCGTACGCCGGTCTCCTGCTTTGGGAAGTCGGGCTGATCAGAGTGCACGCTAGCAGCAGGTCATCGGTAGGTCAGCCGAAACCATAACATATATTTTTGGCGACGGAAGGTAGTGGATCAAGATGTCGGTTTCAGCGGAAGACCTGAAAATCATTTTGTTGCAGCAACAGCAGCAATTTGAAACAGCACAGCTGCGTATGATTGAAACCCTCACCCAAATGTTATCTGTGCAGCGTACGGTCGTTCAGAACAATGGGAAGCCTTCGGCGGATGCGATGATCAGTAGTGTTAATGAGTTCATATTCGATCCTGACTCAGGATTAATATTCGATGCGTGGTTCAGGCGCTGTAAAGATGTTTTCAGGGCAGAGTTGTCAGGTCTCGATGATGCATCTAAAGTTCGCCTTTTGTTACGAAAACTCGGAACGGTTGAACATGACAGATACATTAACTACATTTTGCTAAACAACGCGCATGATTTCAGCTTTGATGATACAGTTGCTCGACTCACAGCGTTGTTTGGAGACCAGTCGTCTCTTTTCAATAGCCGATACAGTTGTCTAAAGCTATGCAAAAAGGACAATGACAGTCTTATTGCTCACGCGGCGATAGTCAAACGTGAATGCCAGAAATTCAAACTGAAGTCGCTCACGGAAGACCAGTTCGAGTGTTTGATACTAGTATGCAGTCTACAGTCCCCAAAAGACGCCGAGATACGAACGAGAATACTTGGTATGTTGGAACGCGACACAGATGTTACATTACAAAACGCCATTGCTGAAGCCCAAAGAATCATGAATTTAAAGCACGATACGGCTATGGTGGAAGATTCGAGAGCACATTCCGCAGATATATCTGTCCAGCAAATTTCAGGAAACAACCCACCGACCGCTCAACCTAGTAGATATCCACAATCCAAACCCCCATCACCTTGCTGGCAATGCGGAGGATGGCATTTTGTGAGATGGTGTCCTTTCAGCAAACATGTTTGTCAAAGGTGCTTTAGACGGGGGCACAAGGAGACCCACTGCAGATTCAAAACATCATTTAGATCGTCATGTGATACTCGAAAAGCAGGTTACCGAAGGTTCGCGACAAGAGTAAACGCTAACTATACGGACGATGTTAAAGCTAGAAGAAAGTTCGTCACTATTACCATCAACGGAAGAGTAGCGCGTCTGCAGATTGATACGGCTTCCGATATTACAGTCATTACGGAAAACTTATGGAAAGCTATCGGTTCATCTGACATTAAACCAACTAACCATAAAGCGAAGAGCGCATCAGGTACGAGTCTAAACTTGATCGGTCAGATTGAATGTGAGTGTCGCTTTGCCAACTTCACCGCTTGGGGAACTATTTTCGTCACAACACACAAGAATTTGAACCTCCTTGGATTAGACTGGATTGAGCGATTCAACCTCTTAGATGTTCCCATTAATCAAATCTGTGCAAGTGTACACTTACACAAACCAAAAGTCCCCAAGGCAATGGCAATCGAACAAATTCGAGAGAAATATGCACCTGTTTTCCGTGAAGGACTTGGTAAGTGTACAAAGTTGCAAGCCTCATTGTCCTTAAAACCCGATGCTGTTCCTGTTTTCCGTGCAAAGCGGCCAGTACCTTACGCAGCAGTCCCAATTGTTGACCAGGAACTTGATCGTTTGGAGAAACTTGGGGTTATCTATGCAGTGAACTACTCTTCTTGGGCGGCTCCAATTGTGGTTGTCAAGAAGTCGAACGGCCAGATCCGAATATGTGCCGACTTTGCTACTGGGCTGAATGAAGCGTTAAACACGCATCAGTATCCTCTGCCAGTCCCAGATGATTTGTTCTCGAAACTAAATGGGGGTCAGTGTTTTGCCAAGCTAGATCTATCGGATGCGTACTTACAAATAGAAGTTGATGAAGCTTCTAGAGAATTACTGACGATAAATACGCACCGAGGTTTGTATCAGTATCATCGACTTCCATTCGGAGTTAAGTCCGCGCCAGCAATTTTTCAGCAAATCATGGATACTATGCTAACAGATGTAGATGGTGCTGCCGCATATTTGGACGATATCATTGTCGTCGGAACTAACCCAGATGACCTTTTCAGAAAGCTGCACTTAGTACTTGATCGCATACAAGAGTACGGATTTAGACTTCGCCCAGAAAAGTGCACGTTTTTCATGGACTCCATTAATTTTCTTGGCTTCATAATTGACAAGAACGGTAGACGTCCAGATCCGTCAAACATTGATGCTATAAAAAAGAGGCCACCTCCCAAAGATGTGCCTACTCTGAGGTCCTTCTTAGGACTTGTCAGTCATTACAGTCAATTTCTGCCACATATGCACAGCGTGCGTGGACCACTCAATGAGTTACTCACCAAGGACAAACGTTGGCACTGGTCCGAAGATTGTCAGAAATCCTTTGAGGAGGTGAAGCGAATGCTGTGTTCTGACCTTATGCTGACACATTACGACCCTACACTTGAAATCGTGGTGGCGGCAGACGCTTCGAAGTATGGCGTGGGTGCAGTTATCTCTCATAAGTTTGCTGACGGATCGGAAAAAGCGATCGCACACGCAGCTCGATCACTGTCGCCAGCCGAAAAGAATTACGGGCAGATAGAGAAAGAGGCATTAGCGATAGTCTTTGCAATAAAGAAATTTCACAAAATGTTGTATGGCAGGAGGTTTACCCTGCTTACCGACCATAAACCACTCCTAGCCATATTTGGATCAAAGTCCGGTATACCCGTTTATACCGCGAACAGACTGCAGCGTTGGGCCACGGCCTTACTCGCCTATGATTTTGCGGTGAAGTACACGGCTACAAAGGACATAGGTCAAGCAGACGCACTTTCCCGGTTATTGGAGCTACAACAGCATCAGCAGGAAGAATCTATAATTGCAGCAATCTCCCTTGAATCAGAGGTCAACCAGGTCTTGATGGAGAATTTTAGGAAGCTTCCCGTGACGTTCGACATGGTACGTGACGCAACTGTGCGAGATCCCCTCTTGCGCCAGGTAATCAAATTTCACACTACGCAGTGGCCAAGTGATACTCTATCCGGAGAGCTACAAATTCTCTCTCGGAGAAAGGACGAACTTTCGATCGTAAATGGGTGTTTACTTTTGGCCGAGAGAATTGTCATACCCAAAGAACTTCGCCAAAGAGTCCTTCAGCAATTTCGTTGGGCACATCCTGGAATTAACAGAATGAAAAGCATTGCTCGGAGTTTTGTCTACTGGCCAAACATTGATTCGGAACTCGAGCAACTAGTAAAGTCATGTCCCAGATGCGCGCTTGTTAGTAAGGCACCGAGAAAAGCTGACTTAGCTTCCTGGCCGTTGGCAACAAAACCGTGGGAACGCGTGCACGCTGATTTCTTTGGTCCCCTAAACGGTCAGCAGTACCTAATAGTTGTTGATTCCTATAGTAAATGGCCTGAGGTCTTCTGTATGGAGCGTGCGGCAAGTGGTGCAACAATTAACATTTTGAGGAGACTTTTCAGTCAACACGGAATACCAGAAACCTTGGTCACTGACAATGGTTCTCAGTTCACTTCTTCCCAATTTGCCGAATACTGCGCACAGCATGGTATCACGCATCTACGGTCACCACCGTTTCACCCTCAGTCAAATGGACAAGCAGAGCGCTTCGTCGACACGTTTAAGCGATCGCTACTAGAGATGCGGGGGGAAGGAACCACACAGGAGATACTTGATACATTTTTGCTCGTGTACAGATCAACTTCAAATCCCCAAGTACCAAACCAGTTGTCGCCGGCAGAAGCACTAATGGGAAGAAAACTCCGTACTGTGAATTCCCTGCTAACTCCGAGGTGTACTAATGAGCAAGAAAGGAACGTTCGGATGGAGCAGTACTACAACGAGCGACACAGAACTCAAGCACGCCGCTTTTACCCCGGACAACGTGTCTTAGTAAGAGACTATCGCGCGGGAAACCCGCAATGGGTGGTAGGATCGATACGGAGAAATATTGGACAGGTGCTATATGGGGTTAATGTGGGTAATTTGATTTGGACCAGGCATTCCAATCAGCTGCGACCAACTAACATCCCTGCGGGCACAAGCGCTCGGTTACTACCGTTAGATATTCTATTAGAGAGTTTCGACATGCCATCTAATCCCCAAAGCAATTCGGATGCATCCCGCACAGAAGTCTCAGAGGAACCGAAGGTCCAGACCCGGCGCTGTACTGATCGACTACGGAGACCTGTCGTAAGAATGCAGTTGGATCCAAAAATGAAGTCTTATGTCAACTTTTGCGGGGGAAGGTGTTAATGGGACGGAACCAGCCAATGAGAGCGTTTTACGCTGAGGGCTATTGATTTGGCCATAAATTGAATGTACCGTTAGTTGGACGTTAAGCAAATATACTTGCCAGCCGTACGCCGGTCTCCTGCTTTGGGAAGTCGGGCTGATCAGAGTGCACGCTAGCAGCAGGTCATCGGTAGGTCAGCCGAAACCATAACAATACGCTAAAATGCCACTTAGATGAGTCTGGTAGAGCCATCACAGCAGTCAAATCTCAGAATACGTTCAAAGCTGAACCTGTCTTGACGTCCTAACCTACAGGCAAAGCTTCCTAAATCAACCGATTCGAGCACGTAGCGGATATCGTGTTGTGCGACCGTTATTCCTCGACATCCATGTTGTTAGAAAGAACTCTTACTCTGCATGAAAACATCTCCCAACGGACTAGTAGTTCTTCTGACAACCTTGACAGAAGGAATAAATCCCAGTAACTTCCCTTCGTTCAAGAATGGGGACCGAAGTTCAGGGGACATTTAACAACTCAGACATCATGATGAACTGCCTCTAAAGTCAAAGCTGGGTGCTTCGATAAACAGGTTTATAGTTTTAAAACTTGCTGTTTTTGCAGCCGAAGCAATGTAGTTGAGCGTGGCAACTTTTATACTCGATCCACCAATGCTAATGTTTTCGTGGATTGTGCGCCTATCTCACCACTCTGGTCTACGTTGGTTGTGAATAGCAGTTTTATGCGTAAATTGAGTAACGACAAGGTGAGCCACACGGTACTGTTCACAGTTAAGAAAATTGGAGCCCCTGGAAATACCAACCTCGCCAGTCCAGTCCGGTAGAACCGACTATAGCACAATCCCTTTGGTTCGGATTGGTCCTGTCTATTGCTCCGACCCGATGCTTACTGATTGGAAGGGTTGTGTAAATCTTTAGAAATTGTTATCGACTTCAGCCACTCAGATTGCGGTGTGGTCCACCTTAAGTGACCATAAGGTCCTTTCTTTGCAGATTACCGCCAGTACAGGCTTAGTATAGTCAACTTCTCACACATCAACGTCAGAGACGCTGTGTCTTACTGTTTAGTATAAATCATCCCAGGATACAATTTCATTAGTTACGTGCGAAAGGCTTTTCCGTATCACCGTTGTGCTGCTTAACTACGTACTTTTCACGTACTGTTACACCGTTATATGTTATTCGTCGTGCGAAACGTCGCTCCGCTGTTTTATAGCAGTGTTGATCCGATATGCTGAGACGATGGAAGGCCTAAATATACCCTGGTTCAGAAACAAAACTTATTGAACAAGATCGTTTTCAGTGGTTCCTTACCAGACTATTACACCACAAATGAATGACATGAAAGAAAATACCAGATAAGAGTGCAGGTTCAAAGGGCTAGATGGTCTGCGTAACCAAGCTAGGTGATTGGTCCCAAAGCGATCAAAGGGGCTTGTGAATTCCAAGGCTAAGCGCTTCTTTCTGTGTGTACTCTTTCCCTTGCTCGTGATGATCAAGATACATCGGAAGAACCACCAGGAGACTGTCCGGGAGAGTCAATTATCAGTGTCCAGCATGCTTACATAGCGGAGTGACTACCGCACTATTTGCACACCTTGTCGATTCGAATCACCAAGTCAAACTGCACGATGCATTCCAGCCCGTCTACCACGTACCCAGATGCCACACACGAACGGTTAGATGTCGTTTACTGGAAGAGATCGACATTCGTCTTCATCACCGTGACCTATGGTGCATAAGAAATTCGTTCAGTCTACCGTGGTCTGATGTAACAGACGCATAATGTGGACAGCACTATAAACACAAACCAATGATTGCCTTGAGACCAATAATCTAGCTTGGTAACAGACTATCTAGCCCTTTGAACCTACGCTCTTATCTGATGTTTATTTTTATGTCTTTCATTTGTGATGTATTAGCCTGATGAATAATCATTCACCTACATGAACTGGAGCGTGAGTACTTAAAACGACTTACCAATGTGAATCGTGGTGGCTTCAATTCGTTGCTCAGTAACATCCGTTAGCTTACCTCTTGCTTCCACACTATCGCTTTTCGGTGAACCAGCATGCTTTGCCTTGGTTGACTCTACCCCCACAACAGTCGGATGAAAGCGGTAGTGACGTGTTCTCGTGACGGTAAGGGATGGTTTCTTTTTCTCCATAATGTAACCTGCAGATTTTTTGCCGGCGCGTCTTCTAGTCGGACCCGACACTTTGGGTTCCAGCAATTTCAGATGATTGGGTTCCTTGATTGAGTGAATCGCTTTACCGTCAACACTGCTTTCGGTACTGTGAGGAACACCATCTTCTGTACCACCACTTTGTCTACCACGTTCCATCAGTTTTTGTTTCTCTTGCCGCAGTTCCTTGGCCAGTGCTCGATGTCGGGACAGTTCGATGCGTAACTTCCGTTCCTGTGCCAGCAGCTTGTCGATTACAGATTGGATCCGTTTGGGCCGCGTAGAAGACGAGTCATACAATGATCGAAGCTCTTCGCTTAGGGAAGACTCCGAATACTTGCTTGCACAAGACGATTCGCTCCTCTCTGACGATGAGGTGTAATGCTTGCGACGGCGTCTATCACTCAACGATCGGCCCAACATGTGACTACCCACCTCAGGTAAGGTCTTACGGTAGTGGTGATGGTCAGATCGTTCTGAATGATGTGTCACCCAGTGGTACGGATGAGGGTGATGCTTGCGACGATGGCTAGGCCGATGACTATGACAGTGGGCAGAGCACGAGTGACAGCGGTGAACGCTATGAGAAGAAACACAAGCTCTGTGACGTCTTCTGTGACAAGAATGGTGACCACAGCTTCTCCGATGAGAACGGCAATAAGAGTGCGACGTATATGGGCTGCTGCTACCGTGGCTATGATCCAGCTCACACTGCGAACAGTAGGACACGGAAGAGCTTCGGACACTAGTCTGTGTGCTGAATGACACATCCGTTCCGTCTACATCTTGTCTTTCAGAAGGTATTAAGGAAAGAGGAAGCGAAGGTGAGTGGGATCTCGGGGAACGATCTGTACGATCATCATCTACTGATGCACCGCCCACGGAAAGATTGGGGGCCTTACTTTCGTGAGGTAGTTCTTCATGGTCCACAACTGGTCCAACGGGTGCAACGTGTTTCACCGATGCAGCATCAATGTTTGTCTTCCCTTGCTTTTGTTCTGTTCCAGGTTTGTCCTGATACACATTTTCATTTGAGTCTGTGTCCGTTTCAAGATAGACCGGGTTACGCGGAGGACCTCCTGAAGACGAAAGAAATGTGTATACTGTATACCAAGTGCGACCAACATCGTAAACATCACTGAGATCCCCTACAGCGGAGTATTTTAGAAATCTTGGGATAAAATCCTTACTAGTTGGCATCAGGCAGTGGAAATATTATGCAATACTTCCATAACTAGAGAACTTACAAGTGGCATGATCCAAGGAAGTGTTCTACGGCCTTTTTTATTTTGTCTTTGATGCACATGAACGACGTCTTCGATGCCATCAAACACGACAAACCATATGTATTTACCGATGACATTAAAATTGTTTATTAGTTCGATTCAGAAAATATCATTGGCGTCCTAACCAACATATGAGCCGATGAACACGAGCTGGAAACTCGAACTCTCATACGAGAAGTGCACCTGCATGTGCTATCGGTGCAGTGTTGCAGCAAATTCGTTGATGCTAGACCCTAAAACACTATACACCTCTCTCATAATGCGTGATCTTGGGCTACACTACTTGAGCTCCTCCGATTTCGCTGAACAGGTGCGGTATATATTGCTGCAAAATGCTCGTGAATTGGGAGGGCTAATATCAAAATCCTTTGTTTTGAATGAATCCAAAACCTACTTATATAAAACTCCTATTGCTCATTAATATACTCCAACCTGAGAAAAAGTGAGAAAACGGCAATAGCAAATGTACAACGCTCCTTTGCGAAGTGCCTAATGAAAAACTGTGGTAATCTTACTTACTATAACCGCTGCTGTGAGATGAACATAGAACCCATCCGATTAGGGAGGGTAAAACAACCTAAGCTTCATGTTTGATATGATTCACAAACGCATCTTTCCCTCACACATCGAAGTTGTACTTCAACCTTCTCTCAAGTGGAATATAAGGAATATACATAGCACGTTACAAGTTGAAAAAGCATGAACTAGCTTAATAGCAAATTTCTTTCTTAACCGCTACGCAGTATGTGTAACAAGTTACCACAGAATCTGAGAACATGCGACTCAAAGGGTGTTTGGTGTACTTTAGTTAATAGAGAATTGTTAGTGAATAAAGTGAGGGACATGATCAAAGTAGACGTGAGTATGACCACGTATGAAGTAGGGCCGAGTGCCATGTAGCAAATGATGAAATTCTCTGATCCGAACTCAACCCACCACTACCAGCTTTCTTTATTCCTAAATGAACCTTTTTCCACACTTCTCACTCTGCATTTTGTCCGTAGGTATTAACTAACAAAATACGTAGTGACTACCGTACTCCGTCGATATCACTCCCTACACACCTCGGCTGCCCCATATGGTTTAACCACTGAAACATCGAGTCGTTAACACTTTCCTTATGAATGGATTGAACGCAAACCCTTCTTGAGGATCCAAGTGCAAATTCGACCGGGTTCACTACACGGTCCGTGTCTCGCACTATGGAGATATTTTGTTTTGTTTTTGTTTACTTATGACTCTTTTTACTCTCCTACTGTGATGTTAAATATTTCTTCTTTCATGGAGGCGACAGCCAAAAAACAGAGGGCAAGTCTCATTGCTCAACACTATCATTTCCTGTAGTTTTCGAACGCATGCAAATGACGATGAACCAGAAAATTCGTACCAGTACAGTCTTGCATATCGCTACTTCGGGCAGCCATCCGTCTTGGACACTTCCCCTGTACAAACTGATCGATCGGTCTTTCTTGCTCAGAGCAAAGTATGCTACTTTTGTTGGACATCATTACTGTTACTACTTTTCTATCCCCATATATTTTATATTCTTATTTACTTCATGGTTGGTCACGACTGGGTTGATCACCTGAGGTAAATGATTGAAGATTCCAACGCTAATTATCATACCAATGCAAGGTGCATTGACATTGGTTCTCTGAAGAGAAAAGGTGCTTGATTCAAAAATCCGATTGATGGCTTGGGCTAGATGGTTTATTGTCCACACAATATACACAAAAAACAGCCATAAAGATGAGTTACATAGGTGATAGCTTACCCGCTTTAAAAGCCACACCGGTACACGGCCAGATGGGGCATGGAAGTTCGGGTGAAGCCCATCGAGGGAGTAACCTGCATAGAAGCACGTCCCCAGGAGACGGTTCCATGGATGGCCGCATTACTTCACTTATATATTTGGATTTATCTACACTTATTATTTTTGTCCTCTCAATCATTCCAAACGATTTAACCAAACAATTAGCCATGTCTGAGAACTGCTTTGGAAACGTTGAAAAATAAAACATCTGCTCCTTGTGATTCCGTTGTATATCAAGAATCGTAATATCCCGTTGGACTGTACCTCTCACTGACGAGGAATAAACCGTTGTATTTTATTCACCACGACTTAATATTGCTCATGCAAGAGCATGGTACTACCTGTATTCACATGATCTGTGACAAATATGGACGCGGCTTCTCATCTAAGGAGAAATCTAGCAAGTATTATTATTATTATTATTATTATTATTATTATTACTGAACTATTCGAAAGCGTACGGTGCTGGTAAAATCAATTAAGTGCTCCATAATGTAGAGTGCATCAAACACTCATTCACACCACAAAATGTGACACAATGCTCACCGATAAGCTGATCCAGCTCTGAGGTAGCACTCGTAGCCTGGGTCACTGCTGTCTCTGTGACACGCAAAGGCCTCTGTAGCACTTCTTTCAGGTGTTCTTCCGGGGGGCGCTTTGGAAATTCATCTCCTTTCTCTCCCACTCGATTTTTGTCAACAAGAGGTGCCTACCGTAATGACGTTTAGAAACAAATGTAAAGTGAGGGTCAAACACTTCGAAATTACTAAAAGCTAGTGTATGGGAATACCGAAACAATCTCGTGACAAGCTCCACTTTTTCATCAGGTGGACGGTCTTAAAATGGTCAGAACCGATTAGGTGCCACGGCTGTTACTGCTTCTTACGTGGATGATATACCTGTCTTGACAGAAAAATGCACGAGTATATCTCCCACCGACGGCTAAAAAGGCTAAAAGGCTGAAGCTAACCTCGTTCGTTGTGCTTAAATGCAGTTTTCTAATTAGGACATTTACACAGAGATTGGTTCAGTATCTCGGCCATCATTTCCTGGCTTGTTAGCAGGAGCCACTCAACGAACCACGGGAGGAAGATAAATTGTATCAATATTCCAAGGAGGCAGCAATTAGACTCATTGGACCGTGCAGTCCAATGGTAACTATTATGACTGAGTAACTGTTTGTGGTGCGGCGTGCTTCACTCTGTACCACAATGTACGCTTTAGTAGCAGATACATCGGACCTCACACTGAGCAGTGTCCCTTGTATCAAGCAATCAATTAACTCATGATGGCGTCTGTCGGTTTGGACCAATTAGTGCTTACGTGAGATCAATGGTGAAATGAGAAGAGTATGGATGAGTGTAGCTATGACCAATCCCGTTTAAGCCATCTGAATGCAAAAAATACTACCCCATAAATGTTAGGTCTACTGGTAAGTGGATAATGATGGTTTATCCTGTCAGAGAAATGAAGATAGCGCGTGGCAACAAACCCAGCGATATTTATATGTGGAAGCTAAATGAGAACGAGATGCTGTTTGTCGGAAGCTAACAAGGCCAATGATTCGCGGACAAAAATGGAAAGCATACGACATATCGAAAGATAGATTAGATAAAGCGGGAGCGGATTCAACTTATACCTGCAAATAATAAGAGTGTACACTCAGACAGCCAAGGACAATATGATGCGTCAATTACAAAGAACTTATCTATCCTACAGACTAGTTGACGAAGTAAAGTCGAAGCGAAATTTTGGTGTATGTAAAACGTCAATATAGCCGCCGAAGTCTTACACACAGTGCTGGATCCCCAAGTGTCATATTACGGGAGCACAGAAGGCAACGATCATACGGAAGACTAGAAAACCAAAAAATGGGAGAGACAGACACAGGCATCATGAACGAGATCAGACGGCACAACGCAAGCCCCACGGAACAAGTTGAGAGCGCACCACGAGCAACGAACGGTAGCAGGCCTGAGCCAAGGAGAAGGTATTAGTCGAAAGGCCAATAAATAACAGAGGAACGCCTTTGCCTGTGCCCCTAGGTGTAAGACCAAGCAGATTAATGCAACCACGGCCGAGCAAATCAGGAGGCTTGGAACAAACTTAAGCTTATCAGAATACGATTTATGGAGGCGAAGTTACGGGGTCAAACAGGCAGGATACAGTCAACAAGTTGGGGAAAGATCGACGCACGGATGTGACGAGCAGTTAGTTGCCTTGTGTGATGGATTGTGGGAAGGAAACTTGACCTATCTATGTGCGCGTGTGTGAGCCTAGTGAACTGTTGTTACGTGCAATAATATTGTGCTTTCTTGCTGCTTCTTTCTTGTAACAATATACCAAAATCAAGACGTCAAAGACCACGATGTGCCACAGCACCTTCCGGAAATCACCCAAGTGTAAAACATGAAAGCGTGAACGCATAACTCCTTGGAGAAATCAGTTTACCCTACGTTGCTGCAGTAATCATGGTGCTGGTTTAAAGTTGAATTTATGCTGGGCGTACATGGGAGAATACGTGATGCGTCTGGCGAACAAACATGAAATGCGTGCGATGGGTATTTGTCGACGCGAAATCGGTGTCTAGTGTATTATGTAGGGCTTTGGAGTACCCGCTGTTGTGTACATAGACTTAATCACGCAATCGCAAACTGGAGTGTGATTTATGCAGAAGTAAACCGCGGTCAGTTCGGATGCTTGAACTATACTTGTAAGAAACTGACCAGTGACAAACGTTGCTCGCTTCTCGGTGACGTGAGGTGGTAAAGGCTTCAGTCGGCATTACCCACGTCCCGGGTTGGAGTCACAATTCAACCGTCGCTATCTGACGAGCGCGTACAACTGTGGAGAGTGAAGCGATGAAACACCTAACATCTGACTGATTCAGAGACTAACCCAGAGATTAGCCTGATCGGGATTCATTTCTAGGATAACCGCGATCACGGATCGGGATTGCGTCTCCCAGTCCATTCACACAACAGAGGCTTGAAAGCTAACCGCCAAAAGTTGTCACGAGTTTCAGAACGACGTGACCCTTTGACCAATTTGAAGCAAACATTAAAACATCACAAACCCGGTCTTCCCACATCTCGAAATGTAACGCCAACACGTGAATGAAATGGATTTGGCAGAGGGACACAATGAAGAAAGTGTTTTTATACAGTGCGGTTCGTCGCAAGCGTAATATATTTTTACCTCGCCATTCGGTGGAATAGCGGAGGAAAAACAAGATACCAAATGGAAAACCTCTGTGGTTTGATAACCTGCAATGGATGTTAGAGTAAACCGGTTCGCCAGTCCAACTTCGAGTGATGCTGTAAGCGTAGCCTCAGACTATGTGGACAAAAGGCTTTACCAAAAACCATAAAATCGCTCTACATAACCTGTCTGGCTGTATCCAACTATACAGTTGCTCAATTGGTTACATCCCCGACGCAATGGTTTTCATCCGTAAGGCAGCAGCTTTCCTCCGTAGCGCACGAAATATAATCCGCTAATCATCGAAATAGCATCCAGGAAAGCATTTAGTGGTCAACCGCTGTCAGCCAATAGCATTCGGACAATATGTCAGCATGGCTGTTTAATTTAGACCCATTTGCGGCACAGAGCAATCGTGGATTGCGGGGCTAGCAAAAATTGGTAACAATGATGCTAAGCCCAAGCAAGGTAGGAGACACCCGTGTGGTCAAACTCAAATGGGCGGTAGCTGAGGTTTTGTCACACGGACCTCAGCTATCCGCTCATCTAGGTGCACAATGTGTCTGTGCATGCTACCATTGGACAATGAGCGTGGAAGTAGGTGTTGGTATGACTCGGTCCAAATCACAAAGTCTGAAACATAGGGGCGAGGCAAAATCAGCACAGTTCCAGATGAACGCACACATGGTAGTGGACATGTCCGGAACATGGGATCAAACCGAAGTGAATAGTGGGTGATCAGGCCAGTAGTGAATGCAATCAAAACGGTCTCACAAAGAGGGCTTGAGTGAGCAAACAAGATATCCGTTTGATGAGAGGAGACAAGTGAGGCACGGATGGCCAGAGTGCACAATGCTGCATTGCTATTGCAAAATACTCTGTGCAAGGGGCAGATCAGCTACCTCATTGTAATACCACGTCAGGCTATTTCGACCGAACTCACTCTCACCTAGAGGAGCAGTGCAAGCCACCGGTTAGTCTCAGAGTCAAGTTGTTAAAAACGTAAGGAAGGGAACGCTATCCAGCACAGTGTAACGTACTCAACCTAAATTTTCACTTCAGTCGACCAGATATCACATTAGTGACGGTTCCTCAGATGGAAGATAACCAGGTTCCAAGCATTTGGCCATATACGAATCACACAAGTGAAGGCGGAAGGTCATATTCAGCAAGTTTAGACTGGATAAGGCATCTGCTACACGTTTGATTACAGTACTACAAATTCGTTTCAAATGTGATGTTAGGCAGTCAGCTTTTTTACCTTCCTACTCATTCTGCAAGTATGCACACGCCGAAACAGAGAGCGCGCCTACACTATTTCGTTGAAAAACCAGCTGGTCCTGGGGGATTGGAGGTAGTGGCAACTGGTGGATCATGATTCACCAGAACAAGGAGTAGGCTAGGTAGGTGGCCGTTGGATGTATGTTGGTTTATTTTCTGAGGAAGTAGTGCATCAAGAGGCCGGTTTAACAGCTTATTTGTGACAACTTTTCGATAGACGGCGTTCGCTGCTATATCGAGTGACGCGGAGCTTGGGATATCGGATCATGTTCCACTTGTTGTTGCAATGTGGTCTAATGACTCTCCGTCTCTGACGCGGAACAGAATCCGTTTAATTAGGCGTGGGCATTAGCGCGACTAAGTTGGAAATCGGGTACGGAAAGTCACTCAATCGTAGAGCTCACATTGTATTTTGAGTAAATCTATGGCTTCTTTCTCAGAAATTCCCTTGAAGACTAGTTGATGGCTGTATACTCTTTTACCTGGCCTGTTTTGCCTTGTGATGGATAAATCGTCGCCACCACCTATTGCACCTCAGCCAAAACACGAATTCGAGGGGTTACCAGCTCAAGTCGGCTATGCAATACAGTCGGCTAGAATGGCGTCAAAACTTTTACTATTTTTGTGTCTGCCAGCCATGAGATACCCACCTAAATTCCGTTGTTTGCCTCCCTACCATATCTGTGTTTTGTAAACGCTTTTACGTTGCCCTAATCCATCTACATTACGAGATATAGACGGTGTACATCGACAGACGATATAATGTGAAGAACGTTGTACACAATGCTGAAAATGCACCCTTTTGGGTACATAAAGCTTGTATTTTGACTTGACTTGAATCAGCACTAAGCTACACAATCGAGGTTGGCTCTTTTCGGCATGCCTCTGCGTAAACACTGTGGTGAATCCACCATAACGATTTTCATTTCACCATTCTCTTTTCACCATTTTTATGGCTCTCATTCTGGCCATCCTACAGGAGTTGTTAAGCTGCTTTTTTACCCGTATTATACCATTGCTTTACCGCATGCGTTGGGGGATGTTTGAAGTATGTTTCGCTGAGCGGCTCTGGTGTTTGCAAATTGCTGATGAACGTGTCGTTGTGATAGTAGTGAGTGAGTGAGGTGGAAATGCTTTCTTGCAGAATGATGCTCTGTTTGGCTGTGCGATCAAGCTCTACCATTTTTATTAGAACGAATCAGTGAGGCAGATACTGAGTAAATAAGTTCCGTAATTCTCCTCAGACTTTACGTGGTGACGACTATACGCTAGATGTGCCGGGTACGGCCGCGTGTCCATTAGAAAGTTTAGTTCCATCGGAAACGTGTCGACCAATCACGCCGTCACTGAAGGTACCAGATTAAGTGCAAGAGCAAATAACTTCACGATCATGGATTAAATGGGGACACAAATCACTGGATCATGCAACGAGTCCTAGGACACGGCAGAAGTAAGGGGCGTACAGATTGCTTTTGCTTGAAGTAGCGAATATGAGTGTCTTCAGCAACAGCGTTGAATTGTTTCCCGGATCTGCTCGAGACTCGCTCAGGAATGGGGTACATGACCCCGAAGTCGTTTTCCGAGCCTGCGTTACCATACTCTAAGAGGTGCGACATGATGGGGCTAGTAGAAGACCTCACTTCGCCTCTGTAAAACCACTTTGGAATGTGTTCGTGAATCCTATAAAATAGGCGTCTCGTAGTACAACCTACGTATTGTGCACCACAGGAGCACGAGTACTGATCTACACGCACTGATCGAGTCGACAGAGTGAAGGCTCATTTTAATCTACTATGCGTATGCGAGCCGTGCAATAGGTCTTTTACAACCTCTTTCAGGCGTTTGGACACCTGAACTATCGTATTTAAAAGGGATATGAGTACACTCAATCTCGGTGGTTTTCTCTTGCGCTCCTTCAGGTGTTTGAGGTTGAATGTATCGGAATACCCAATTGCTCTTGAGGCGTCACTGATCATCTGCAACTCCTCAGTGATGGTGCATGGTATGCCAATTAGGAGTAAATTTTCTTCGCTACGGAGAAAAGCTGCAGCATTAAGGATGTAGTCGATTGCATTTGGGATGTAGTCAATTGAGAAAGGGTATTTAGATAAGGAACAAGGGCGAAATTTTCCATAGATGCAATATTCCACGTGGGTATCAGTTGCTATTTTGTCTGTAAGTATCAGCGGTCATAGGTAGATGAGTATGCACAACGCTGAAAATGTTACCAAACGTAGCGAATTGGTTTAAGGTCATCAGAATAGGGGAGTAGTGTTTCTTAGTTGGCACATGAGGACGAACTGAGAGAACAGAGAACAAGGTTGCGCCCCTATGTTTATTCGTCGGTCCACCGAAAGATGACACTGAATATCCTTAACTATTTGACAATGTAGCTGGTTCAAACGCAACACTCAGCTATATGCATTCAGACAATTAGGCCCAATTAGCGAAGTCTGTGGGATATCTTTTTACAAGCTGTTCACATGACGAAATTGTTTCAATGAGTTATAAAGTATCACTCACCGAGGAAAATAGCTGAGTGGAATCCATTGGCTTTCCTTTTCCGACGCCCACGGGGGATGATGCTGGTTGCTCTTGGAGGCCTAACCTTTCCTTAGTGCGAAAGCTTACCGACCGTAATTCTTCTCGCAGCTTTTCAATAGTTTCTTGCGTATCCTGGAAACAGACGTGGAGAGATACTAGACAGAAACACAACGCACGCGCCCTTCCTAGACGTGGTGATTAATTATTCTTGTCACCTACCATTTCTTCTACACCTTTAGAGCTACAAATAAAAAGTTCAACTGAGCAGCGCCTGACAAAAAAACCTTTACGCTACAACACGTGGAAATTTTGCCAACTAGAAATTAATAAGCAGCTTTCGAGTGAGCGAAGCAACCCAGCAAAAATAAATCCTATGAATTGGGATAATAGACGTTTTCAAAACTGCCGCAAGAGCGCAACTGCCAGTCACAATCATCGAATGCTAATGAGCACTAACAAAAGAAAAGGCTTGGTTAGCTTGACCCCGCGACTCACTCGCTCAGCCTAAACTGACATCCTTTTGACGAGTAAAGGCATTACTGAAGCACACCGAATAAGGTCCATTTGTGTCTGCGAACGAGTGCTGACTCGTAACTGAACGCAGTATGCAGAGAAATTGATATTCCGGTCAACACGCTCAAGTTTATCCATTGTTCGTGACATGAGGACCATGAAACGAACTGCGCTCCGCAGAACCATCTTAGTCGAATTGGTTTTAGGGCCCAATAGGCCACGGTTTCTAACTGCTATATCGTACATGGCTGCGACACGAGAACCTGTGGCTCTGGAGGCCGGCTCCGTCCTTTACAATCTCCCAATTTTCATGACAGTGGAAGACGAGCCGCGCTATATCGTAGTTATTATATAGATCACGACGATCTGCCGCCGTGGCTCATGGCGTATTGGCAAAAGCGGCTGCTGTCGAGAAGCCATGCACTTGTTTCTTGGTAGATTCGAGGGATGCTCGTTACTGTAGGGTCCCGATAGGACGAAACGGCCGCTTAACCTTTTCCGGGGGTGTGTAAGACTAATTGAACGTAAGTTAAGTGCCATTACTCACTTCATATAAGAATCCCCCACTCATCAATGCTTCTGAGTAGCTTATATGTGACTACGTCATCATGTCTGCAACAATTTGACCAAGCAACAGTTTGCAAGCCAGTAACTGAAGCATGCACAGCTAAGCACAGCGTTTTCAATGCCTTCCAGTCACCTTTGATGTTGAGTAAAGAAGCCGATTGTTGAGTGGTCTGCTGGTTGCATTTATGTTACGAGCCGTTGTACAATGAACAATGATTTATAGCGGGTAAAATAGCAGGTGCTTGACATGTCCCGTAGGGTGTTTAGAGTGAGAAAAGATAGATCAAGGGATAATGGAATCGTCGGTTCGGACGATTACAGATCTAACTGCAATGTCGTGTAAAGGGTTTGAAATTAGAACGTACGCACACAAAGACATAAGGGGATGGTTATTGATCACATAATAGGCGAGAGAAAAAATAAAAAACAGCAAGGCCAACGCTTACTCGTGTGCAGCTATCTTGGGTCGACGGGATACAGTAGCCTTTCAATACTGCAGTAAGTGTAAGGTATACCGCTCATTCCAAATAAAGCTTGGCCCTACGTGGTTGGAAGAAAAAGAATCGTAGCCCCCTCCCCCACAAACACACAAACGCTAAATCCTGTTTGGACGAACACAAGAAATCCACCGCTCCGATACTTCAAAGAGGCTTCTGAGATGAACACGTGCGCGACTAAATAGAATGCTACCACAAGACGGGATTCCACATAAAAGCTTAATGTCAAAGTGATCAGATAGCAGGAAACCGAGGTGCCGGAGGATATGTGTCGAGGGATGCAGCCATAGTGTGCATAAGATTTGATTACCTATAGTTCCACCCATCTGCTAACGTCTTCCAGATGGCTGCGCGATGCTATGTTGCTAGCAGTGCTCGTCTGACGATGTTCACGCCGTCCTAATCAAAACTCCACCTGCGTCTTCCGAGTATTCTCTTTGCGTTATGCCATCGGTTCGATCCAACGCTGATCCACTCCAGTCCGATTTGCCCGTTGAAATCATAGTACGGAATAGCAGCTCAGTACTGCCTACTTACAGCACGCCACAAAGTTACATCTACTGCATAGTACATACTATACCATTTCCCAGGTACGTCAAGCCATAGGGCATTCAACTTCTGCCGTAAGGATTTCGACCTCATCTACTAGTCGTGCAAGTTCTCCCGCCCATACGTCAATGGTTGCTTTTGCGCTCGCCGTCCCGTAGCTGTCTCATTGGTTATGCACCGTCAGCCAATAAGAGGTCGGATTTAGGTATAGAGAGAAATGTAATCACGGTGGAGACGAAGGGGTGCCGAGCGCATATGCTCGAGAGCAATTCATCCCCAGGGCGATGACGGATGGCAGGACGCACGTGCGACTAGTGAAGAGTTACGTCAGCAGATGCGTAGTAGGATGAACTTGAGACAGTGTAGGACAAGGAGTCGGAGAATGCCCCATCGTATACGTTTAACAAATAATGTCGGCGAAAAGAGCTGATATTTGTTTCACATTCCAACACAGCCGGTAGCCAATGTCACTGCAAATAAAGTTACCAGGTGTTTGCAGTTGCGTAGCAACTACTCTTGCAGTCCGGGGCGGACGCAAATTTGTCGCTTCCTCTGGCGGTTATAAGTCCGTAAACCCTCATAACAATTCTTGAATACTCTGTTTCACCTGATAACACGTAAACATCCACTTGTACAGTGCTTCCGTAAATTCAGGAATCTTTGTTGTTACAGTACTAGTGAACAAGATTTATAGATACACTTTTCGCGCATTACTTGATGCAGTCGCATTGATAACGCTCTCCATTCTCAAGTTCGCTCGCTATGTTGTGAACTGCAACTCCGTGAGCCTTGTCTGCTTCAATGACGATTGTAGGTAGCTCCTTATGAGCTTACATTTCGGAGAATGCGCTCTCATAGCTGGCTATGCTAATAGATCCGGTAAGAAATATGCGCAGAAGATTCCCTAGTGCTATTTCGGTCTGAGGCTCAGAAGGTGCATTGGTTTCGTCTTTTAATGAAGCTTTCACAAAATACCGCAATCTTCTCTCGACAAGGATTCTGTTTCTCTGTATCTTCGTTGAATTTACGATGAGGACAACCATACTTATTAACAGGCAGACGCAACGGTGTAGGAAAAGCAGATTTATTCGCATGGTCATGAATTTTCTGTAATCTATGGCATCTCATTAATCACATTGTCTGTGAGAGAGAGCAATTCCCGTTTGAATTCTGCATCAGATCCCATCGATATATGCAACAATTATTCATCGTCCATTCGTTTCTTATGGCCGATTCGATGCTTCAGGCTTACCCCGAAATTAGCGTAGTTTTTTGGATTCATCCGTCGCAATGTGTACCATGTGACCTCTATTCAGCAGAAGGCAACTCTTAATGCTGTAAGATTGCCACAACATTGCAGATTCAGTAAATTTCTTTAAACATACCTGTGCATCTTTGAATTCTATGAGAGCAGATCCCTAAATGCTAAGATATAAAATAACCGGAAATGACTGTATCGACATGAGAATTAAAGATGCAGCTAATCGTGTGATTGCATTTCCTCCTTATTCTGTGAAATGTGTCAGTGAAGTGACGAGTTCCGAGTATTTCTTCACTGTAATATTTACAGCATCTTCTCGACTACCACATCTATCTTCTACAGTCATCTGATGGTTACCCCAGTGACTTGAACAAAGGCATTCAAGTAATATTTAGATGAACATGGAATGATAATAGCCAGTTCATCGTACAAACAATGTAACAGAACGAGCTGTCGCGGAAGCTACATAAACACAGAGTGGTTTGTGCGTGACACAGATGTAGGCTTTGATCCTGATTTCACAGATACGTCTCTGGACACCTATTCGTTAGCGCGCCATAACAGTCCCATTGTCAAAGGCTTGGCCATGACAGCCGTCAATGTGAATTCCATCTCTCTCCAATTCTCTCCAAACCAGTGCAGAAATTTCCTCTTCCCTTTTGCTGTTAGTCTCAACGAACCTGAGAAACGATTCCTCTAGCGTCAATTCATTTTCATTCCACTGATTTTTGTGAGTTACATCGGGCGTGCTATGGAAAGTCGCTTTCATTGACCTGATCTCACCTAATTTACCAAAAGGCACACTAATTCATTTTGAACGTGGTGCGCCAAAGAAAAGGTGCTGATTTTCCTTCCCAGCTGAGCTGTCACCAAATGTTCGCGAAGAACAGCCTCACACTTGGCTGACAAATGTACAAATGCTGAAACATTCCGTCGATTTTTTGGCCTCCTTTGTCATCTTGGATGTCTTCTCGGTGAATACACAGTGTCATGCTTTGATTGGTGAGAACCCTGACGATATCAAGTATTCTAGCGAAATTTCACCCTACTGATTTTCTACCACTATTTGCTCCATTTGGTCAAATTCCCTTCCTTCAACTCGCCGGATCGCTACCTCTTTGCGATTGGGAAATGACTGAGCACGCGATTTGCTAGATTCGTGTTCACATGCATTTGGATTTAGCGTCCACCAGTCGAAAAACTAGACCATCCCGTTGAAGACATCGTGCAGCGGAAACCACACAGGACCTCTTTTGAATGCGAATGCACCATGGGTGTCGCAATCTTTGCTCATCGTTTCGGAAATCCCGAAAATCACCAATTCTTTGTTAGATCCTTAGCCTCATATTTGTATTCGTTCCAGGTAGAACCAATTAGTAACTTCATGATAGAGATGCTGGAAGACTTTAGATCCGAGTCGGACAAACATAGTAAGAATTTCATAAACAGGCTTAACAGCCCACTGGCGGACAACCATGGGATCGGTTGATTTGATTGTGATCATAAAAAGTTGTGGTTGCATTTCGGACACTTCCACTTTAGCGCGCCCCTTTTGCATCAGTATTTCAAACATTTCCCGCTGCATCCCTGTTGTCAATATCGTGTTCTCTTATCCGGATAGCAACGTTTGCAGTAACAATTTCTTCTTCGGTCATAAGATGATTATCATCCTTCGCCCCCTGTCACATGCTCCCCGAGGCGGACTCCACCTCCCCCCCCCCGCGGCCTCTCTGTCTTCTTATGCT